AAACTGCAGCTTTAAGGTCTTAAGGTAAATTACTTTAAAAAATTTTAATAATAATTCCACCTATCAATTTTTTTTAGGTGGTGAAAAGGGACTGTTAAAATTGTTTTTGTCTTTGAATCATTCATTCAAGAGATTCATTAAAAACACAGATTCATCCAGCAATGAAACAAGTAAATCTTGAGTGAGTCATTGAATTATTCCATTCATAAATTCCATGACATTTTGTTTAGTTTTTTAAATTTTTTTCTTCAGACTTGTGAGAGAACGCTCCGGTTACTGACATAACCTCAGTTCCCTGAGATAAGTGAACGAGCGCTGTGAATGGGTAAACTCCTGTTTACTCTGTTACTGAAGCCTGATTTGTTCACGTTTGTGTAGCTGCACAAACCAATGCGCTTTAGCCCCCCAGAAAGGGCGAATCCAAAGTGTATAGGAGTCGGCTAGCAGCGCCATTTCATCAGAATCATTCGACTGAAGCGACAGTCCTCGATTCATGTGCAGCTTATAAGCACGGCAAGTGACACAACGCTCATTCCCTTATCTCAAGGAACTGAGGTTATGTCAGTAACCGGAGCATTCCCTTTCGAACGTTCACTTCATGCTGTGTATGGGGAACGAATCCAATCACGCCGTGCTATGAGCAGAAGCAGACTGCGAGCCAAGTTCTGGAGCACTTATGTTAAGGGCCGCTAGAGAACATGAGACAAACTGAGTCCTGAGCGTAGCTGAGGACTATGGACATAGCTATTTCCACCATAGGGAGAAATAAGCAGTTTAAACAGTTTAAGCCGATAAAATCCGTGCCTGGAGAGCAGGAACATCTAGGCTGTAAAATCTGGCAAACGTGGATGGCAACGACGAGCCGGCAGCCTCACATATCTCACCAATAGAGATTCCGCTGGACCAAGCCCAGGAGAAGGCCATTCCTCTAGTGGAGTGGGCCCTCACACCTATGGGGCATTGCAAAACTTCTGAGGCATAAGCCAAGGCTATAACATCAATTATCCAGCGCGATAGTCTTTGCTTTGTAACCGGCAGCCCCTTAGAGTGGCCTCCAAAGCAAACGAAAAGCTGCTCCGACTGTCTTAGGGAGGGGGGGGGGGGGGGGAGCGTACAGGCGAGCACTGGGCCAATCGTGGGCCAGAGCATCTCGCTGTATCGAGAAAAAAAGTTGGGCAGTGAGAGCTGTCTTCTGAGGCAAAGAGGTCTACCTCTGCCTTCCCAAAGACAGACCAGATTTCTTGAACCGTATGCGGATGTAGGGTCCATTCTCCTGGAGCCACATTGCCTCTGGACAGTATGTCTGCACCATAGTTCAGACTGCCCGGCACATGAACCGCTTTTAGGGAAAGGAGTTCGTTCTGTGCCCAGAATAAGAAGCGTCGAGCCAGCCTGTAAAGGGAGTGAGACCTCAGACCGCCTTGGCGATTGATGTAGGCTACCACTGTTGTGTTGTCCGAACGGATCAGGACATGGTGCCCGCGTAAGGACGGCAGGAAGGTTTTCAGGGCCAGAAAAACAGCTAGGAGCTCTAGACAGTTTATGCAGGTGCCGTTCCGGGGCTGACCAGGAGCCGGACACCGGATTGCCCTCCAACAATGCTCCCCAACCCGAGTTGGAAGCGTCTGTCATAACCACCTGCCTCTTGGAGGTCAGTCCCAACCGTACGCCGGACTGAAACAGGCGTGAAGTTGTCCAAGGGGCCACAGCTTTGATGGCAGAAGGTTGATGTTCAACCCGAGGTGCTCCAAGTGGCTGAGTAACAGCGCTCTGTGAGTGACTAATTCCCATTATAATTTGGCCAGGATCAGCCAGTCATCGAGGTAGTTGAGTATGCGGATTTCCATCTGCCTCTGAGGGGAAAGAGACGCATCTTAGGGTTGTGACGTTGAGGAAATTTCCCCACCGGTTAATCGACGTGTAACAACACTGGTAGTACCGGTATCACCATGGGGGACATTGAGTTTGAAGTTGAAAATACAACTTCAATTTCAACTTAGCCTATATATAAAAAACAGAAATTTTATTAACAAAATAAATCAAAATACACCATTCTATAGGCTATGCCTAATATAAAATAACAAATAAATTACACAAAGTTTAAATAGCCTAGTTATACAAAACTGAAAATCAGCAAACACTGTGGAACCAATTAAATAAGAAACGAATGTTTAAAAAAATATATTTCCAAAATATTGCCAAATATTGCCAAACAGGCGCTTTTGCATTTTGTTTCTAAACTAAATCTTCCGCTATCATCTTGTCTGTCTCACCTCACTCTTCTTGTCAGTCAGCTCGACTCACTCTCCTCATGTGAATGAAATCGAATCTGTGATGCGACTGTCGTTCGGCACACTGTATTGAGCAGCCGCGTCCAGTTTTTAATTGTAATGTCTGTTCTCTAACTGAACTAAATTATTTTTATTACTATAAAAATCAAAACGACGGTGGGGGGCCGGTGCCGTGGTGGGCAAGTGACATACCGGTGTTGCGGCTTAACACTGAAATCACCACCAACACCGTCTATCGCAGCAAGCCTACCGCATCTATGCACTTCGTTAAAGTGCGAGGGGCCAGAGACAGTCCAAATGGTAGTTTGGACACTATATTGGTAGGCCACTCCCTCGAACGCGAATTTCAAGAATAGCCTGTGATGGGGGTAAGTAAGCATCTTTCAGGTCCACTGTTAAAATACAGTTCTCGGAGGATCTATTTGATAGATAACATCTTGAATGGCCGGCGCATAAGCGAGTGATTCAGGATTTGTCTCAGCCCGCCATCTTTTTTTGGGAACGAGGAAGAAGCAGCTGTAAAAGCCTGACTCACTGTTCGCCGTAGGTACTATTCTATAGCACCTTTTGCAAGCAGTGTTTGCACTTTGTGTTGGAGAACGTGTTCGTTGTCCTGAACCGAAGTGTGAATAATACCTCTGAAACGAGGTGGCCTGCGAGCAAAATGAAGTGAGTAGCCTCATCGTAATTGTTTTTAGAACCCAGCTTGACACGCCCAGTATGGCTGCCCAGGCCTTGAACCGGGATGCAAGTGGATCTAATTTTGCAAATAAAAGTTGGCCGCGAGGGGGCGGGGAACTGATATTTGCGTGTGTAAATGTGGCAAGAGGAAATTCGCACTTTTGAGTATTTGGGTCCGCTATCACAGCAGTAAAACATTTGGGTACATGCTGCACCTGCAGGGCGTGACCCGTAGGAAACAAAACTCCATCGCTCAGAGGTGTTCGATGGGATGGAGAGTGAAAGCGAGCTGTTTTTGAGGGAGTTCCGGCCGAGGAGAGAACTGACCCTTTCCTCTTCCTTTCTGATGGGTCAGGACGGCTTCTGGGGCTCAGGGTCCAGCACTAGTTGAGGGTGTGGGCCTTGGCGCTTCGGGTAAGGAAAACACTTTTCCCAGGCTCAGACCTCTGAGGCTGAGGCGGCACCGGCTTTGCGGGCTGAGTGGATGGGGCTTTTTGGCGGCTAGCGGGTGTAGCACTAGAGTGCTTAGGGAGGAAGTGACGCAGCGCTTGCAACATCTTATGAGCCTCTGAGAAGCGCTGTGCAAACCCGTCCATCTTCTCAGCGTCCCTTATTTCAGTGAGGTTCAGCCAAAGGTGGCGCTCCAACACCACCAGGCTGGCCATGGTCTTGCTGATAGCCTGAGCTGTGGCTTTCGTAGCTCACAGAGCCAAATCAGTTGCTGTGAACAGCTCTTTGAAAGCAATCTGATGTTGGCCAGACTTGTCCATATCACAGAGAAGTTTGACCTGAAACACTAGTAGGACTGCCATCGTATGCAACGCCGATCCGGCCTGACTGGACACTGCATGCCCCTTTTTTGGCCAGAGCCGAAGTGGTGCTGTAGGGCTTCGAGGGATGTGCTGCATGGACCTTTAATCCCAGGGTGGACGGCGGACACAAGTGAGCAGCTACCACCCCCTCCAGAGGGCGGAGCTTGCTATAGCCTTTTTCCTCAGCGCCGTCAATGGTGGTGAGAGCTGCTGAGGAGGAGGAGCTAACTGTGGCTGAATAGGGGGTGCACCACGTCTTGGTCAGTTCTTCGTGAATCGCAGTCAAGAACGGGGTGGGTCTCTGGTGGGAAGGCGGCTGACAGCATCTAAAAGGCCATGGGCGGGCTCATCTGGAGCCGACCACTCGAGACCCAAATCCTCCACCGCCTTGGAGAGAACACGGATCAGCTCGCAATCCAGTTTCGGCAGAGATGGTTGGGATGAAAAGAGGGCTTCGGGCTCGTCGCCGGAAGTGCACCATCCTTCAGTGTTTGACGCCGTCAAGGACATCGAGTCGTCGACGGCAGTCTCTTCCTCGGAAGCGCCAAAGGAAGCCAAGCCACTCACTGCAGAGGAGGGGCGTTGATCCTCTCATATGAAGCACACCGGCAGAACGAGTCGGAGCGGAGAAAGAGGGGCACACGGGCACTGGGCCGATGTGACACCGCTCGCACCCGTTGAGAGAGAGCCACTGCTCCGCTGTTTCTTTCTCTTAGGAGAGAAAGAAAATGGGAGAGCAGAGCCAGAGGTACTGCCTTCAGTGAAGATGGCGATATGCAAGCGGAGACTGGACAAACTCATATTCTCGCAATGAGAACATCAGCCGTCAGCGAGCGCAACCTCTGCGTGGGCGCTGCCCAGGCAGGTGACACATTCGCTGTGCCTGTCTGACTGAGCAGCACTCACGGTGCGACATTTGCAACAACGCGTGCTAGAAATTTGCTCTAATTTGCTCTTTTAGAAAGCGCCACATGGCCACAGGGGAGACTCGTCTTCTGTCGGGGCTCTTTTATGGCGGCGAGCGGGTTGAGCTTCTTTCCGGCTTCTTTCTTCAGCTTCTTGCAGAGTCAGCGAAGAGATGATTCTCGTCGCTGAAGGAGAAGATTCTGATGAAATGGCGCTGCGTTCTGGCGGGCTAAAGCGCTATTGGTTTGTGCAGCTACAAAAACGTGAACAAATCAGACTTCAGTAACAGAGTAAACAGGAGTTTACCCATACACAACGTGAACGTTTGAAAGGGAATTAACGTTACAACCTCCATTAAAAAAAGTCTAAATTTATCCAGAATCATGCAGCTCTTTTTTTCACACAAACAGCTCTTAATCGAGTCCCGCTTTTATGTCGCGGGCTAATTTTTGTTTATGGTATTCAGCAGCAATTAAATGTTTTGCAAAAAGAAACACCTAATAAATTGATATCTAAATGTTTGAAATTTTTTTAACCACTTGGAATCGATAAGTGGGAAACGATAAGAATCGGAATCGACAAGCAGAATCGAATAGGAATTGGAATTTATAAAATTCAAACAGTACCCAACCCTATTTATTACTGTAACTAGTTAACTTACTAGTAATGAGTTACTGCCCAACACTGCACACAACCCCTTGGATCAGGTGTTGAAAACTGTTGTTTTAATAACATTAAGTATTTTGTCTCAAAATACATTAATACATATGCAACAATTTTAAATGATTAAATGTACCTTGATAGTGAATCACTCCAGCTATTTTGTAGAAAATGATATTTTTTTTTTTCCTGTCTGAAATGACTATAAAATATATATTTTAGGTGTAGTGAATTCTTCTCATGCGTAGCTTTCAATTTCTCATTTTGTGATCGATCAGATACCATCTATGATGAGGATGAAGTTCTGCTTGCTCTTGCTGAACAACTGGGGAACTTCACCATGCTGGTTGGAGGCCCTGAATATGTGCATTGTCTCCTTGTAAGCTTTTTGACTTGATTTCATACTGAAATTGACAAAAATGTAATAATTCCTGCTTTAAATTAGTTAGCTTTTTATTTGCTGACTTACGAGTTGTTGTTTTTTTAGCCCCCTTTGGAGAGTTTGGCTACAGTTGAAGAGACAGTGGTGCGAGACAAGGCAGTGGAGTCCCTGCGGAAGATCTCCCATGAGCACTCTCCAGTGGACCTGGAAGTGCACTTTGAGCCTCTGGTGAAGCGTTTGGCCAGTGGAGACTGGTTCACGTCACGTACCTCTGCCTGCGGACTCTTCAGTGTCTGCTACCCACGAGTGTCCAGTACAGTCAAAGCTGAGATCCGCCAGTAAGTTTAATATATTTGTGAGGAGTGTTTTGTTGTAATACTGCATTTTCATTTTGGAAAAGTTGATGCATTTAATACAGGATTGTTCACACTAAGAGCACACTGAAGAAGCACTTTAAAAAATGACCAATACAGATTACACTCACTTTTTTTAAAAGTCACCATGAATTCAAAATTAACAGTACTTTTTTGTGGAATAAATTGCAGTATTTATTATTAGGGTTGGGTACCGAAACCCGTACCTATGTAACTGGTGTGTACTAGAACTGAATCAGAACGCAGATTTCGGTGCCTCATTTCGGTGCCACTTAAGCGATCGATTGAAATATACTTTATAAAATGCATACTTTATAAAACGATCATGTTGCTATTTTCATTTGAAAATGTAATATTTAATATAAAAATATTACAGTGCATGTGGCATACCATACAGTCACCGAACTGATTAAAGACAGTGACAGATAGCACTCAGTCAATTCACTCATTTTAACTAAATATCAGAGTGATTGACAGAGATACTGTACAGTATAAACATTATGTGTGGTTTTGTATTAAATAATGACCCAGATCGTGAAATACATTTATTAGCATTAGAGTAAGGGAAGCACAACTCGGGAAATGAGAGCATCCGAGGAGCGTGTGCATGCTATGTATATAGGGGTGGGGGGAAAAATCGATACAGCATAGTATCGCGATATTTTCCGCAGCAATACTGTATCGATACACGGACGCCAAGTATCGTTCTTTTATTATACTATTTGGTAGAATAATAAAATCAATTTCTTTACAATCCACTAAATGGTGGTGGTGAGTTTTTTCTGGTCAGGTCAGCTGGGTCACCTTCAGCATGCAGTAAGTTAGTAAAATAAAGAGGGCGGCATGGCGGAAAGTTATCAGGAAAGCCCCGTCCGTGTTTAAATCAAATCTATGGACTTACTTCGGATTTGTAAACAAGGAGGGGATGTAAGTAGGGATGCACCCAAAATATAGGCTACATATTATAATAATAATAATAATAATATATATGGCGCGCTGCGTCATGCCCTGCCCTGCAGTGTTCAGAGCGCATGTTTCACTCTCCTCATCACTGCGCAGTACCTTCAGTGACGCTCTGCTCTGCTCTGCTCATATGCTCTGATATGCTCTGATAATAATAGCTTTGTAGGACTACATTATTTGGATTAGTCAAAAAACAAAACAACAACTTCTATCTGATTCTGTTACATAGAAGTGAATAAAAATAATATATTGATATTTAATATTAAGGTAACACTTTTCAATAAGGTTCCATTAGTTAATGCTAGTTAATGTATTAACTATCATGAACGAACAATACATTTATTACAGTATTTATTAATCGTTCTTAATGTGAGAATACAGTTATTCACTTAGTTCAAGTTAATTCAGTTCAAATCATTAACTGTTAACAAGCACAACTGTTGATTTTAATAATGCATTAGTAAATGTTGAAATTAACATGAACTAAGATTAATAAATGCTGAAGAACTATTGTTCATTCTTAGTTCATTATCTAAAGTAGTTAACTAATTTACTTTCAAATGCCCCAATTGCTGAAGCAGGGTCTGCACAACTTTTTAGTACAATTTCAAGTTGCATTGTTCAAAATACCTGTAGTAGCACAGCAGTGCATACCTGTTTACATTTAATTAAGGTGGACTAGATTAGACTGTAATACAAATAGTTGAGTTTGCCAGGTGCGTACAACATTTATGACAGGTTTTCCTGAAAGTGTTGGTCAGTTTATCTGCTTGACAATCCCATTTTGCACTGCAACAATAAAACTGAAGTGAGATAAACAAAATGAGAAATGTTTCTTTTTAGTTAAAACAGATGTCAAAGTTTTCCTTTGGGGACATAATTTGAAGTTGGAAAAAGGTAATAAATTGCAATATATCGCAGAATATCGCAATATATTTAAAATCGCAATAATATTGTATCGTGACTCAAGTATTGTGATAATATCGTATCGTGAGGCCTCTGGTGATTCCCACCCCTAGTATATATATTTTTAATGTTCATTAATGTTATCCATGTTTTTTTTTGTGCCTCTTTTTTTTTTAAAGTATTGGTTCAGGCTCCCTTCAGGCACCGGTACCGTTTTAAAAGTATCTATTTGGCACCGGTATCGTAAAAAACCCAATCGATACCCAACCCTATTTATTATAAATAACCCTCTGACTTTTTTTACATTCTTGTGCCTTTGTAATCTTTAATCGAATATTCTGCCGAATGCATAAATGTAGTAATACTTTTTTTAAATAAGCATAAATGAAAAAAAGGCAATAAAAGAAATACTTTTAATAACAATATAGCTGTTTTAATATACGTATATGGGGCTAGGTGGGTGGGTGAATCTAACCCCCCCCCCCCCACGAAAGTGATTCTCATTGCTGTCTAATTACTGTTAATTCTGGCAAGTACATAAAGGTATTACAGTAAAAAGATAGATGTAATACAATCAAAGGCAGTACAAGAAATACTGCCATTTAAATCTGAAGTATTGATATTCGATTTTTTTTCCTTTTGCATTACAGCGATGGTGCTAAAACAGGCATAATTTACTAAATGTTTCTTTTCTTTTTGGGGTAAAACATGATGATGTTTTTAACAGATTACACAATATTCACACCAGTTTAAATATATATTAAATGTATTCCCACTTCACATCACTTCTTTCTGTGTCTGTTGCATGTTCTTTGTATTGACAATATCAGCAGCTGTAAAACAGGGTTCCAGATGGCTTCTATCTTATTGAGTTTTGTACAGAACCTGTAATACATTCTGACATCAGGATTTTTGTCCCTGGTGCGAATGGCTCGATAGGAATATATTGCTTAAATGTATTGTTTATTGTGGTAATAATTATTCACTCTCAGTGTGAAAAGCCATGTAGACTAAACATAATTATAGTGTTATTGTTCCAATAACCAAAGTGGAAAGGAAAATCACTACCTCATCGTCTTCTTTTTCTGTTTAATTGGAAACGTGTTAACACGTGTATCATCTCTCCTCAGGCACTTCCGTACCCTGTGTTCTGATGATACTCCCATGGTGCGCCGTGCAGCCGCCTCCAAGCTGGGTGAATTTGCCAAAGTGTTAGAGCTGGAGTATGTCAAGAGTGACATCATTTCTCTCTTCACTGCATTGGCATCTGATGAGCAGGTCTGGTTTTAGTAATACTCACTGAAATATACAGTCTAATTCCGTCATTACTCAAACCACAGCTAAAGTCTCTGAGCACATGTTGCATGACAAGACCATTGGAGGCTTGAAAGGTTTTCATTGTGTTTATGTAACTAGTGCTGGAGCAGTATTGTATGGCAAATATCAAAGTGTTTTCTTCTGACATCTGAATGCAAACATTTACATCACTGCAGGACTCTGTTCGTCTCCTGGCTGTGGAGGCTGGTGTCAGCATTGCCACTCTGTTGCCTCAAGAGGATCTGGAAACTCTGGTAATGCCCACTCTGCGCCAGGCAGCAGAAGACAAATCCTGGAGGGTTCGCTACATGGTTGCAGACAAGTTCTCTGATGTAAGCCAAAAGCAAATCATGCGTTAAGTTAATTATATATAATTTAATTTTATTGGAAAATCCAAGTGTTTCTCACAAAATTCCATTTTAATGCAGTGGGGGTTGCTTTTCCCCCATAATTCTCCTCATGGGCATAACTACATTACTGTTCAAGTTAGGCGCTGGTAGGATTTTGAAAAGTATCTTATGCTCACCTAGAATGCATTTATTTAAAAACAGTAATATTGTAAAATATTATTTAATTTGAAAATAAGTATGTTTTCCATTTTAATATTTTTAGAAATACAATTTATTTCTGTGGTGGCGGCAAGGCAAGTTTATTTATAGAGCACATTTCATACACAATGATAATTCAAAGTGCTTTACATAAAAGGAAGTAAAATAATCATAAAAAATAATCACAACAATAAAACAAGCGATTTAAAAACTTTATTTAAAATGAATTTAAAACAGTTAAAAATAGGAAATGATTATATATAAAATACAGTGCAATCAGTTCGGACGTAGCACAGTGCTCGTTCAATAAATGCACAGCAAAACAGAATTTTCAACCGCCATTTCTCCAGTCTTCAAAATCACATGATTTGGTGTTCAAAAAACATCTCTCATCACAGTTGAAAATGGCTGTGCTTTTCAAAATCTTAGTGAAAAATGTACTTTTAAACAAACCAGCTTTAAACCTCTGTCTTGTATTGTGAGCTTGAGGCTGCATTTACACTAGCACAAAAAAATCCGTTTTTTTTTTTTACTCGCATCGGAATTTGTTGCACATGTGTAAATGTAAAAATCTGAGTCGAGATCTTATTTTTTCGCTTTAAAATCTGGTTCTGACCTACGTTTAAACACACATCCGATTCCCCTCAGAACTCCAAGCCACCACAATGCGAGGGCGACACATTTGACAATAAAGATAGCATTTTAATTCTGGCATGCTGTATGCGCTCCCATTTTATTGAGGTGGGAACTTCATATAGGCAAGAAATTGTGCAACATTCAGAAGCTCGTTTTTAACCCCCGCACTGTGAATTTTATTTTTAATTATAATAAAATATAACTGCTATATTTTTACAAAGCTACATTATATCTCTCAGCAATGAAGTGATAGCTTAGCTGTTTTTGTAATTAAACCAGCAAGCTTCACTATTATGCCACTCACTCACTCTCTCGCTCTTGTTAATTCATTCAAGTCTGTTCAAATAAATAAAATCTTACAGTGCTACTTTATTTCATTTTAGAATTCTACATCTAATGAGCTTTAGATAAAATAACATGAAAATTACCTTCATCTGTTCAGTCAAATTTTGTGCTTCAGAACATTCATGACAGCTGTTGTCCATGCAGACAAATAATAATGGCCACTCCATGTGAATTATATAAATAATTTTAATAGCACAGCCATTCAAAACCCAAGGGTCTATCATGCGCATAGTAAAGCGATCACTGACGATCATTTTGGGGTGGGAATGAATGTAAACGCAGATATCGGTTACCAGTCTTGTCTAAAGTGAATGTAAACAGGCAGGCCAAAAAAAACCCGAATAAAAGATTGGATCTGTGCATCAAGACTTGCAGTGTAAACGCAGCCTAAGTGAGTCGAGTTGCTCTAATAAAAGACTTGTCTGACTGGTAAAAACCACTAAATCTTGTGCGGTTCATAAATGAATGTTGTCTGAGTGGCTGAGCTCTACCACTAAATAGCGATGCAGCAATCACTGCAATATGATGTGTATTTGTGCACCCTTTAACTTGGTTTTATATTGTTAATGTTATATAAGCTACCTGGAAACCTATTCTCTGTTATGTATCAGTGCTAAGGTTCAACAGCTGGATCGCAGTTTCAGGATGACACCTCATAAGAGTTCACTGTTCTCTAGAGGTGTAACGAATCACTCGTTTTCTCGATGCATCGTTTACAAACCCTGACGATGCATATGCATCGATCTTGAAACGTGAATCATCGATTTCGGAGATTCAATGCTTTCAAAATATATACACATGAATTACTACAAACACGAATTAATGGAGACCCTGAAGAGTGTTTGTGCCATTACATCTCTCCTTCACACACTCCACTATTTATTGCCTGTGACTGTCACAAAATTGCGCTCGTGCTCAGTTCGTCTCACTGACACATTTTTTTGAGCAGCTGATGTGTTAAACTGTCAAAATAACCACAGCATTAACAACAACCTTGAAATAAGAGTTTAAGGGTTTATCTGATAATTAGATGCATGAAAGTAGCATTCGTTGCTATAGCAAACAGACATCGGGCGTGTTTTCTTTCAGAATCATCATTCGCCGATAGAGAGGAAAAGTTAAATACTATAGCATTTTATTTTATGAAAATGAGATAAAGATGTTTTCGTTTGAAAGAGAAGTGATCTCGCTCTCAAAAAACTTAAGACGTGCCAAGAAATGCCTAAAATGGACAAAGGCATCTATCGCTGCAGCTAAGAATGAACTGGTGAAACGTTAGGACAATAAACACAATAAATAAATACAATTTATGAAAAAAAATAAATAATACATACATACAATTATTGTATTTGTCATTTCTGTCACTTCTGAAATGATGGCTATGCCCCATTTTTGGCTTGCATACATTTCTACATATGCCATGTCATGCCATGCCATAGCATCATTAAACTAGCATCTAACAATGGACAAAAGTGTTTTTTCTTTCTCTAACCTATGGTTCTCTAACCATAAAGGCTGCTGTGTAATTTGCCCCCTGAGTAAGCATTTAAAGAATTTAGGGGAAGCATTTAAATAATCCTGTGAATGCACTTAGACTGCAGAATCGAATCGTTAATCAAATCGAATCGGATTTAATTGTGAATCTAATCGAATCGTTCTGAATTTGCAAAATTCGTTCTTGAATCGAATCGAAAACCTATGAATCGTGAATCGAATCGATTCGCTGTCTACCCAAAGATTCACAGCCCTGCTGCTCGCTATAATCCTGCACTGATGCACACTGCTCATTGTTGTGCAACTTGACCTAAATGCAGTTCCTTTCCATAATAATATGATAATATTTGTCATTTCATCAGATGGTTTTGGATTATCCTGAGCCACTTGGAATGTCAGATATTTTACAGGAAAATAAATGTTGAATGCAGTGATAAAAATACCTAGAAATATCCTGGGATGGAGCAATGGCAATTTGACCTGCTTTAGAAATGAGAATTATGTACCACATCTTTTGTGCAGTGCTAGAATAGCCTTGATTGTATCCTAGCATGCTCCGGAAGTGGAGTCCTTGAGTCTGCAGGAAACGCTGAAGTGCTACTGTGAAATGGAAATATGAAGTGACATGCTTGTCTCTGTGAATTTACAGCTGCAGAAAGCTGTGGGTCCAGAAATCACAAAGAATGACCTAGTGCCAGCCTTCCAGAACCTTCTGAAAGACTGTGAGGCTGAGGTTCGTGCCGCTGCTGCAAACAAAGTCAAAGGTGAGAAAAAGCACCAACGCAGCCCTGTAATATATGAGCATGATGTTGATTTGCAAATCAGTTCAAATCTGTTAATTTGCAAAATAGGTTTAAATAATTGTAGTTAATATATTTTCAGTAAAATACGTTGCACATGTCTAAGTTGCATAGTTAAAAATTGCATTCTTGAGAGAGAAAACCCCCCCCCAGATGTGTATGTCATGTTTTATTATTACATTACAGAAATAATGTAAAATGCTGGTAAATAAAACTTTAAACATGTATTTAAGCTCCCGTCATTCCACAATAAATCACTGAAATTAAATGACGTTCAGAATAGGAATGAAAAATGTAAGTGTAAAACATAAATTAAAGTGGCATTTATTGTAAACACCAAGCCTAAACATATATTTATTTAAAGTGCAACTGAAACTACCAGTGTGTTGGAAATGTGCTGTACAAATAAACTTGCATACCTCTCTTATTTGGCACAAATTCAAATGTGTGCACTTTGCATGTTTGCATAATACAAGTTGCTTTTGAATATAAGTTGCAGAGGTTTCAGAAAAAGGTGACATGTTGGCGAAAAATATTAAGAATATAATAAAATATAAGGTTTATATACAAATTTAGTATTTGCTGAAATTTGCTTATTTTTTTCTTTAATTTTTCGTTTAGTCCATTCCTTGTTTAAGGAATTAAAAATATTTAATATTTTTGTCTCATAAACAGCTTTGGATTTTGAGTGGGTTTTGTTTGTAGCTGGCATTTCAAACTGGTTCAAAGACTGCATGTTACTTAAAGGGATAGTTCACCCAAAAATGTAAAAATTCTGTCATCATTTACTCACCCTCATGTCGTTCCAAACCTGTATGAGTTGCTTTCTTATACTGAACACAAAAGAAGATATTTTGAAGATTTCTGGTAATCAAACATTTGGTGGTTGCCATTGACTTCCATAGTATTTTTTTCCTACTATGGAAGTCAATGGCAACCACCAACTGTTTGATTACCAGCAATCTTCAAAATATCTTCTTTTATGTTCAACATAAGAAAGCAACTCATACAGGTTTGGAACGACATGAGGGTGAGTAAATTATGACAGAATTTTCATGTTTGGGTGAACTATCCCTTTAATAAAAGTTCATTTCATTTGTATATTTGCTCTCAAGAGTGTCTTTCTCTGATAATCATGAAATTACACTGGTATTTTTCTGAAAATGTTCTTATTGTTATGACCCTAATTGATTATTATCCACAGAATTCTGTGAAAATTTGCCAGAGGACAGTAGAGAGACGATCATCATGACACACATTCTCCCCTGTGTTAAGGTAAAATTTTCATTCAGCGCTTGTCAACATCTCTGAAATCGGTCACATTTCAGACTGATCACTTGTTCCTCATTGTTCCAGTACTCATCACATTTAATTGGTGTGCAGTTCCAATCCAGGATCAGTTACTGGCAGATAATTCCTGAGTCAGCATCTGTTCTCTAAGTGTCTAAGACTTAAACAAGATCAGATTAACAGTGTGTCATCATGTCTGTGCTCTGACCTACTGGCTGTAGCAACTGTAGTGCACTTCTGCTCTCGATCACATACTATATATCAATCAGTGCTTTCTCCGCTATTGCAATTTTTTTTTTTTTTTTTGAGTGTTATTTGTTTTGGACATGCCCACCAAAATATCTGCAGTGGCTCACAGCATAGATACAAATAATTGCAAGATTGATGACAGAACAGCACTTTTTATTCCAAACCTTTTGTGTAGCTGAAGTACATTTGATTTGATTTGAGTTTCATAGCAATATAAACATTCAACATGGTCCGTGGACCGCTTTGTTCCGCGTTCATATAGACTTGAATTTTTTTTTTGCTTTAATAATGGCTGAACATTTTAAAATGGTTCATGTACCTTACCATTCAAAAGTTTTTGGTCGGGTTTTTGCTCTTTAAAAAAAGTTGTTTTTGAAGAGTCCTTTATACTCACCTAGACTACATTTATTTGATCAAAAATACAGTAAATTTTACAATTTAGAATAACTTAATGTATTAATGTATTAGATGTACTATTTTTGCATTAATATATTAAAAACATTTATGTATAATTATTAGGGTTGGGAACCAATAACTGTCTGTTTTTTAAAAAGAACCAGAACCGTGAGCAATTTCTAAGTTTCGGTTCCGAAAACGGTTCTGGTGCGACACGTGACCAAGCGCTGTGAGCAGCCCTGCCTCTTTAATTACTGAGCACATTGTTTCCCATGACGCGCACTCCACAGACACATCTTTAACTGCCGAACACATCATTTTCCACGACTGTATGCACACTCGCGTCTTTGATAACTGTGCACGTTGTTTTGTCTGACTGTACATGTACCGGCAGCACGCAGCTCCTGCCGCCACTAAATTACATTATATTTGTCCAATATTGTCATTAATATACATACTGACTTCAACTTGGACCACTAAATAAATGGACTGCTATTGTTATGCAAGCATGAGGGTTAGATTATTTAGTGTACAGGTCATTTCAAGAGTGATAAACAAAGTGATAGAAAATATTTTCATGCATTTTAAATGTGGAAACCACTCATTACATCACACCATCTCCTGACTGCATTATTATTTGTAAAATAGGGGCTTTATGCAGTGTGTGTATACATGGTTATATGTATAATATTTCATTAATTTAGGGAAATTAAGTGTCTTATCCCTCAAGGGACTATTTGGCCAACCAGCTTATTCCTGCTTGAAAAGCAAAATGTTATTGATAGTGTGAAAAACATAAACTTTGAAGCACATGCATTACTCAACATTACTTACTACCTTCCAGCAACACTACATTCATTTAAGGTAAAATAGTAAAAAAAAAAAAATAGTTCATTTAAATGGAACCGGAATCGTTAGGCAAAACTGGAATCGGAACCGGAACATTTCTAACGATACCCAACCCTAATAATTATGTTGAAAATTCCATATGTTGCTTAATTCCACTTAATGTTGGATTTGCGTTATGTTATTGTGAAAACCATTTTCTTTGATGAATAGAAAGTTCAAAAGAACAGCATTTTTTTTTGGCAACAATCAATATTTTTACTGTGACTTCGGATCAAATGATTTTGTGACTTTGGATCAGTTTAATACAGCAATACAAAAAAATAAATTGACACTAAACTTTTTAACGGTAGTTGGTTGTTTTTGCTGGAAATTCAGTGCAAATTTTTGCACAATCCAGGGAATTTAGTACAGTACAAAAGTTCTTCATTGATTTTCTTTTTCCTTTAATTTGAAACCAGATAGATGCAAAAAGCCCAAAAGCAAGATTCTTATTGTCTGAGCTAAAAAAGCTTGACATTATGTAACACTTGAGTTAAAAACAAACTTAAAACAGTAAATCAGTACCAAAATACAGTCCTACCCACTGATAGCCAAAATATATCTACCACTGTTAAATTTACCAATGTATGCCTACTGCTTTTACAGTCACAAAGTCTATATAATAATACCCTCCAGTAGGATCAGTAGCAAAATACTAAAGCTCCAGTATATACTGATGCCAGTGAGATTTCATAGTTCATGTAGACTTCAGGTATTACACGTCATTATTTGAAAGTTGCATTAAAGCATTGATAGTCATTGATGGCATGTTGTTTGCTCCTCTTTCAATAGGAACTTGTCTCAGACACTAATCAGCATGTGAAGTCTGCGCTGGCGTCAGTCATTATGGGCCTCTCCACCATCTTGGGCAAAGACAACACCGTTGAGCACCTGCTTCCCCTTTTCTTGGCCCAGCTCAAAGATGAGGTAAGTGTGTGTGTGTGTGTGTGTGTGTGTGTGTGTGTGTGTGTGTGTGTGAGAGAGACAGCACATCTGGCTCTGGTAATTTGAATTTAACATTTAAAAATAAAAATAAACTGGTCTGGCTGTGGTAATTTGCGTCATGTTCCAGTCACAGATGATACTTCTGTGCAACTGCTCACTTTGATCCTGTCAAGGTGAGACATTGCTAATGCTAGCCTTTTAGTGAAAAGCAGAAAGCATTGAAGTGAGAGATAAATGGATGAGTGCGGCACACTATCTCACGTCTCATCTCTTTATTTGCTGGGTCTTTTTGTTGCTTGCTGCTCTCTGTATTGTGATCGCTCTTCTTTAAACTGCTTGGGAGAAGTCTTTGAACATCTGTCAGTCACACAGACTGCACAAAATAAATAGAACAAAGCCAGCTCCTGGACTACAGCATGCATTGATCCATGTTTTAAGACAGGAAGCTGTTTTGCTTTCTGTGTCAGTTCTTGCACTGTTCTACAAAAAGAAAAAAATCCTGTCATAGTTGTCAGCCTGATGAAAACTTGACACTGTGACATGAAACACTGACATTTAATGGTTAACATTCCTGCGGACTGCATGTAGAGATTAATAAGGAATTTTATTGGGAAAATGGAATCAGCGTTAGTATTTTTAGTAGGGCTGCACGATTAATCGCATGCGATATTTAATGCGCATCTTGTCAGAAAGCCGGTTCTGTAATCAGCGGTAAATCTCCATCACCTGCGTGCTTTCACATTGAGCAGCATTAACTACACAGAGCCGTTGTTCACTGACGAGCTGCGCTAAAAATCGCAGGAATATGAACGTGGTTTGGCGCAGCTCGTCAGTGAACAACGGCTCTGTGTAGTTAATGCTGCTCAATGTGAAAGCACGCAGGTGATGGAGATTTACCGCTGATTAAAGAACCGGCTTTACTGATAAGATGCACGTTAAATATCGCTTGCGATTAATCGTGCAGCCCTAATTTTTAGTAATATTTATATACTGTAATTTGGCATATCGTTTATATATTTAGTTGGGCTGGGTGATATGACCTAAAATCAAAACCTCGATTAACTGAACACTTTATTTCAATTACGATTATTTTAATTAAAAAAAAATTGACCTCATAGTTCAATAAAGGTTTGTACTGTAAATATACTCAACTATTAAAGGTGGGATATTTTTTTCTAATGAAAGAGTGCATTTCTTTCATTGTTTGCAAACCAAA